ATTAATCTGTCAGGAAGAGAAAAAGAAAATAGACTTCTAAAAAAAATTATTTCACTTTGAGAACTAGTTGTAAAAATACTAGTGCTGTCAAACGATTAAAATTTTTAATCAGATTAATCACAGGGTTGCTGTGGATTAATTTCGATTAATCACGATTAAATATCATTCATTAATCTATATTAATTGCGTTTAATTTTGCATGACCAAACAGACTCAAGAAAAAAGGGAATATATATGCACTTAACATGTTTATTGAACATCTTGAACACGAGTCGGATGCATTCCATCTGCCACAGAAGTGCAATATCTCATGGACCCATGTCAACAAGCAAGATTTTCTGGTTAGTCGGACAACTTTCGGATTTAAGGTACTTCAGTTTAAATTGTCTTTATCTTCGTTCACTTACAATTATCCCGAACTACCGTAAATCTGACAAATAATCCGACTAATCATGAAATCCAATTCTAGCCCGGTTAATTGCCATTGTTAGCAATATCAGTTGATAACACATTACGCACGGTGCGTTACGTATAAAACTCCGTAGCAACACGTCCACAGATAAGTTGGATGGTATAGTGTGTGCGACTGATTTATTGAGCCACAAATGAGAAGTAGTGCTTAAACAGTATAAAACTACAACTTCCCCTTCTGTTGATAAAAGGCGCAGCTACCTTGGATTCTGAACTCGGGATCCTCTGTGCTGCTCCGAGATATTTCTTGGATCTCTGAGAAAGGGAGCATGCATGCCGTCACTTCCGGCTTCAAAACTTGGAATCCAACTCGGAATACGAGTTCCCATGGCAAATGAAACTCACCAAAACTCTAGATGCACTGTAGATGGGTTAATTGCGTAAAATTTTTTAATCAGATTAATCATGATGATGGATTAATCCGCGTTAACCTGTTAATTTTGACAGCCCTAATATATATATAATAGAGATAATAGAGAAATACTATTTACCTGCAGAAAGCAACAACCTCAGCTGCCTCCACAAAGCTGTGGCATTTTCCTGCGCTTGCTGACCAATCGAAGACGCGTCTTGCTCATGTGCAAGAACACTCAGAGGAGCTCAATTTCATGGTCATGCGCTGTCACTCTTAAAGGAACAGAGACCCCATTCTTGTTTTATATGATACAGCACCCGGCTACATGTGGTCAAACGTGCTATGACTAAGAGATAACGCAGATCTTACCCGCAGGTACAATCTACCTGTTAAGTATGTGATTACAGACGCTCCTCTACTTACAAATGAGTTACATTCCGAACGCCCATTCACAACTTGAAATGTTGGTAATTCGTTATTTAACATCATTTTAAGGGTATACGCAAGTACAAAGCACTAGGATGCTGTGAGTACGCACGCTATGCTGCTGTGCAGTGGGAATAGGGGCCAGAAGTTGTACTAGGCGGAATTAGCACGGAGAAAAAAAATTATGTTGCAGACAGGAAACGGGAACCCAAGAAACACAATTTGGACTTAAAGTCCTCTTTGTTCATACATCTGAAAGTTTGTATGTTGAAAGTTCGTAAGTAGAGGAGTGTCTGTACAGCTTCTATGCGTGATCATGACGAGCTACACTAGTGATGAGAATTTCAGCTCAGCAATGAGAGCCAGCACTTTCAGCTCTCAAATGGTTCTTCATTTACTACCAATTCTTGCTTTTATAATGTAGCCACTACAACTGTATTCCATAAAGAAAAGCTACACAATATATTTTTTCTTTGAGCTAAGCTAAAGAAGGCTAGCTAACATTACATGACTGAAATAATTATTCATATACGCACTGGAAATTCCATTTTTTCGATAAAGCCAGGATCCAGTTATTTGTTATGAATGGCTATCTGCAATGTATGGCCAGAAAATATTTCAAGATATTTGTAATGTTCGTTTAAGTGCTTTAATGTAATATGTTTCAAATTAAATAGCAGTTAAAAGTGAACAGTCTACGAATATGTGTTTTTTCAGACAATAAAATCTAGATATTGTAATGACTTAGGTCCTCACAAATACAGCCCTGGACGAAGAGTGATGCATGCAAAGGTGGGGATGGTGTGGCCAAAACATTCAAGCTGCCTGGAGTGTTCCGCTAAAATCTCACTCCCTGTCAGAAAACTGCAGTCTAGCTATCAAGCTATCCGCGCTTTGCCGATACATTGTCAATTATTCCGAGCTTTAAATGCGTGGTGCACGCATAGACATAACATTATGGTATCAGCCCGGGTTTAGGAAAATAACATGCAGATGGGTTAATTGCATACATTTTTTTTATCAGATTAATCATGATGATGGATTAATCTGCATTAACCCGTTAATTTTAACAGCCCTAATTAAAATCCATCTCTACCTCCATCGGTCCGATTATCTCCCAGGCCCTTCGCACATGGAGAAGGGTTGAGAAATTGTTGGGCCCCTTCCCAAAATGGCATCCCAGCGTTCCGTTGCTCCACAATCCTTCTCTTCCCCATCTCTTCCTCACCGTGGTCTCAGTCAGGTATCTCTGCCCTGGGTGACATTTTTGACAGCTCGGGCCTCAACTCGTTCCAGTCTCTTAAGGTTACATTTAATCTTCCTTCTTCCTCATATTTTTCTACCTCCAGCTGAGGTCCATGCTTAGAGCCTCTAATATCTCTTTTTCCTCACCTCTTCCGCTTCACCTGCTGTGCAGATTTGCTCTGTCCTTTCCACCCATTTCTAAGCCTGTGTCCAGTCTCTATTCCCTCCTCCGCAAATCCTCTCATAAACCTCTCCCCATAATTTCTGTCTGGCAGGGGGAGCTCTCTCCCACCCCCGTCTTATCTTGGAGTGTTATTTTTCATAATATTAAAAACTGTTCTAAAAATCCCAATCACCAGCAAACACAATTTAAGTTTGTTCACAGATTATACCCCACTCCCAGGAAACGCCATCTCATGGGCTTAGAGCCTGACTCCTTATGTCATCTTTGTCCCCTTCAGGTACCTTTCTCCATATGTTCTGGGACTATCCTCCAGCGGCTGCTCTTTGGGATTATGTGGCCAAATCTCTCTCTTCAGTTCTCTCCTCTCCCATCCCCCTGTCTCCCGTGGTCCTTCTTCTCCTGGACTTCTCTTCTCTCTCTCTCTCGCTTCCAGCAGAGGCTCCTGATGTCTGCCTCCTTAGCGGCCAGGTTATTAGCTTCTCGTTGGAAGTCTCCTGATCGTGCCATTTCCACTGTCTGGAAGTCCACCTTTCTTGATCTGCTTCTACTGGAACTCTCTGCGGCCCAAATTAACAACTTGTCTGGTTCTATGATCCAGAGCTGGCTGCATGACATGCAGCTGGTCAAGGACTGGCTGCAGGTCATGTCCTGAGGCTGTATTCCTTGTTTTTTTTTTTTTTTTTTTGATTTTTACTTTCCCAATTTTGACATTTCTCACTGATATAACTGTGTTATTTCATTTCTCCTCAGTTTTTAGCTGCGCTCTCCAGGGCTGGGTGCACCGGTGACCATTGTTGATCTTTTGTTTCTTTTCCTTTGAGGTGCTGTCTCAGGG